GATGTAAACTGTATATAATAGATACCGCGATACATCATCACCGGTACCATTAGATACACATCGTGCCCTGACTGTTTGGGGATCCCAGCGTCACGTATACAATGTGAAACGCGACAAATAAAACGTCTCTGATTGGTGGATAAGACGAACCCAAGAAGGGTATAAAAGAAGCGTTTTTTCTTACCGGACTCTCAGTAGAGTTTGGTCGCTCGATCGTTTTCGCCCATATACCTTCACTCAATAAAGGAATAAAATAAAGTCCTTTTAAGCAAAGAATTAGAATCATATTCATTTTCATTCCATAATCCCAGCAGGTTTATTAACACTTGCGCCAAGTTTCATAAATATCAGCGTGTATCCGTCACCGGGTTCCCTTATATTAGGTTGGTGCATATGAAATGTCGGATTCTCTTTACATGTGAACGTTTGTCTCCCCGTTTTCGTCATGCTTCTGTTTTTGGCGTAACCTCGTTTGTGGTCGTACCGTCCATTGCCAGAGTCACATTTCAACAAAGAAGATTTTCTCAAAAGTGTTCCATTTTGTTATTTGTTTTGAACTCCGTAAGCAAAAGCTGCACGCAGTATAAACCAGGCGTTTGGGGAGGACGCTGTTAACGATCGAAAAGTGCAGCGTTGGTTTGAAAATTTTCGGTCTGCTGATTTTTCCCTACAAAGTGAACCGTGTGGAAGACCCAAAACGTCTGTGAAAAATGATGCTCTGAAAGCATTGGTGGAAACGAATGTGACCGGAGTAATTCACTACTCATTCCTTCGAACTGGGGAGACAATTACAGCCGAAAAGCTCTGCCAGCACATTGATGAAACGCATGAAAGTTCAAAAAATTATGCGCCCATCACTTGTCAATCGGCATGGCCCAATACTTCTTCGCGATTAAGTGAATTAAAATATGAAATTTTGCAGCACCTAGCTTATTCGCCGGATCTTTCGCCAACCGACTTTCATTTTTTTAAACATTTAGAACAGTATTTACGGACTAAACAGTGTGAGAACGAAGACAGTCTGAAAAATTCCATATTAGAGTTTATCCATTCTAAAGATCAGAATTTCTTCGAGACAGTCACCTATGCATTAAAATCTCGCTGAGAAAAATGTATTGAAGCAAATGAAGCATATTTTGATTAAATAAACTGCTTTTGAAAAAAGCTATGCAGTTTTATGTATTCACTTAAAAATCCGACATTTCATACGCGTCAACCTAATGAAACTTAGAAGTCGTCATCCGAGGAACCTGTGAGCCTCGAGAGTTCCACATCATCTGCTTCAAATTCCGCGCTGTTAGACTGTCGTACGCCGCTTTTCCATAGTAACTGGCTCGTGTTCGGTTAAATGTTTAAACGGTGTCCGTAAACGGCGGCAATAATCGCAGTCACGCGTGTCGATTAATTCGTCACGCAGCAGCTTCGTAGGCAACAGGCCGTCATAGACATGGGGCAGAGAGGCAGCCGCGTCTAGTCGCATCTCCTCTAGTTTCGTCCCGTCTCGTTTCGTCTGGTTTCGTCTGGTCTCGTCCCGTCTGGTTGCAACCGCTTACCCAGCTCATGCTTGTCGGGTAAGGCTGTATGTTCCGAATTGTATATTAGCCGCTTATCCGATTCGCCGGTCTCTTCGAGCTGTTGCGACGTTTACGCCTTCGGGGCTTCGAACAGAGCCAGGATTTTCCTCGGGGCCGACGAACTTTGCCGATGACAAGGAGGGGATTTATGAGAGACCAAGATAACGCGAGCAGTTCGTACTAGCCGCGGCGCGTCTATCAGCGTTCTAGTACCTTCGCCCGAAAGGTGTATTTTAACGTCTGGCTGGGGTTTGTTGTTCGCGATCGACTCGACCGATAACATTTTTCGGAGCTGCCGCACGTTATCCGGGAGAAACGTTACTCGAGAGAAACGTTACGCGATTCTCCTTCTCCGATTTGCATACCACTTCGCTGGTTTGTGCGCGCGAGCAGGACAGAAGAGCCTTGGTCGTTTTTATCAGCGCGGTCTCCAGTTTAAGGGACGGAACTATTGTTTGGTTTCAGTAGCGCAGTTGGCACTGTCCTAGCAACGGGCAATTGCACCGGCTCACAATGCGGGGAACTGAGAGAATTGAAGTGTTTCGGACGAAAAACGAAATATTCTCGTGAATGTCCGAATGTTGATACATTCCATAGTAAAATTTATTCATTCTCATTTATTCATTCATTAATGGGTTATTGCTGTATAATAAGGATACATAAATAAATTAATACATTTTCGGAATATAAAAATTTGTAATTATATTTTACATGTTTCTTTTTTTAAATTAGATATTATCTTCAGATCCGGTAGTTTCTGTTTCGGAATTCGCGCGGTTTCATTCGAAGACATCAGAGATATTGGACCGATTTGAATTCCCTACTTCCTGCGAAAAATCTTCGCTGACTTTTCCTGAAATCGTTAACTATAAAAAAGAGCCGCAAGGCTCGAATAATCGTATCTCCGCTTCCCAAATTGTCCATTTTTCTGTGCAATCTGAGCGCAAATTAGGGAGAAATTACTGTAGTTCGTTTAAACTCAAGCTTAACTCGATGGAGGAGTGAACAATCTCCGAGAGAAGCAGTCGAATATAAACGTGGAGTTTTTCCTAATTAATTTCACGAGTCCCCTATTCAGGAAATTATAATTTGCGGTCAGCTGTCAATGTACAAGTTGTATAACAACAGTCTTAGCAAGGAAAAGGGACAGAAGTAAGCTACGTGGCATGGTATGCTGGTCCTGTACGCGGCATCGTAGGAATCGGATTTTTCCGCGTCCTCGACGTTACTGAAACGTGAAATTAACCGATTTCTCTGCGATCTTCTCAACACACATACACGCACACACACATGCTAGTGTAGAAAGAAAATATCGCGACCCTTACCTTAGTATCAATCGAATAGCGTCCTCGATGAACGAGTCGCCCGGAGGGCTCAACAATGTTTTCGCCTCGCAGATTGTTCTCAGAACGCACTGTCGTCCCGGCAAATTCTGGCTGAAACAAGAATCCATAGTAACAACACAGACGGCACAGCGACACCAGAATGACGTCACCGTCACGAGTACCTGTCTAGAGCAGCTTCGAAATTAGCGTACAATTCACGGCGGTGCCTTCGTTTGACCAGCCACGGTTTCCGGAAGAAATGTTTCTTCTTCGGGCTGTCCTGCGTTTGTATAGGAAAGATTGTGTCGAACTCGAAGTCCAAGTACCAGCTGCTGGGTAGTGGCAGTTGAATAGATTGTAGCAACGACACTGTCATCTGAATCATACAGGAAAGTGTATAGGCGGATAGGATTGAATTTTTTGAAGATATGATGTTTAGAATTAACAGATATTTCTTCTGTTGGGCACAAACGAAAAATTTGTGAATTTTTTCACAAAAATTTGTCTAATAAAAATTTGTGAATTTTTTCGCAAAAATCTGTCCAATAAAAATTTGTGAATTTTTCCACAAAAATCTATCTAATAAAAATTTGTGAATTTTTTCGCAAAAATCTGTCCAATAAAAATTTGTGAATTTTTCCACAAAAATCTATCTAATAAAAATTTGTGAATTTTTCACAAAAATCTGTCTAATAAAAATTTGTGAATTTTTTCGCAAAAATCTGTCTAATAAAAATTTGTGAATTTTTTTACAAAAATCTGTCTAATAAAAATTTGTGAATTTTTTCACAAAAATCTGTCTAATAAAAATTTGTGAATTTTTTCGCAAAAATCTGTCTAATAAAAATTTGTGAATTTTTTTACAAAAATCTGTCTAATAAAAATTTGTGAATTTTTTCACAAAAATCTGTCTAATAAAAATTTGTGAATTTTTTCACAAGAATCTATCTAATGAGGCACAACATTTTGAATCTTTTTTCAAAATTTTTAGTTCAGCGAATCAAAAGATAGAGAGCGAATCAAGTAGATAGTCCTCATCTACTAATTTGATTTAAACCTTGCAACTACCCTTATGGTCATAGTATCGACTTGAAAAATGATCTAAAAAAAAATCAATTTGGTTAGGGAATTACATTTGACTATTTTATCCAGCTCTGTACAACACCTTTTACGATGATTTTAATATGTATATATAAACTTAAATAATTTTTGTTTAAACATATGTTGATTATTTAAAATTCATAATTT